ACTTGATGTGCATACAGTCTTTGAGTCTGGCCAAATACCACTGGACTTCAGGGTCATTTTACTGACCACCCTGTTGAAAATAAATCAGTAAAAAAACATTTCAGGAGTACAAGAGAAGCTGGTATGACTTTCTCTCTTATGCTGCCCAGTGTAGCAGTCCCAGACACCTGCTGATTTACAAGGTGAACAAAGATGGTGTCAAGAGAGGACAGTGCTTGCCGAGGCAGTAACCAGGAGGAGCCGCGGCTTGCATTTCGGGTAGGGAACGCAGCACAGAGCAAAGCGCCTGCAGTGAGCACCTGTAAAGGATGGATTTGCCCACCTTCTTTTTTTTCCTTAGCTCCTTGTGCCAGTACATCGTCTTTGAGCAAGTAAAGGTTGAAGTCCCTTTTGAATTTCCAGTCTTCTAGAAAAGTGCTGTAGGTTTAAATATAGGGCAGCATCGGCACTATACCTGCTGCTGTATTTGATCGTGAAGTACAAGTTACGCTCTTTGCCGTAGGTATTTAACACCCACTGAAGCTAAGGCATGCATATGAGGCCAGCTGCCCGCTAGTTTGGGATGAATGTGAGCCCCCAGGACTTTGGGCCAAAATGCAGAAAAGCTGCAGGTGACTATATCGCTACTACGCAACAGAAGCTGCTATCTTGTATGCTGTCTGAAGGACACGGTCTCACCTTGAGCTGCACTGCAATTGCCACTGCAAACTAGGCTAAAGGCTACTCTGCGCTGCAGTTGTCTTGACAAGCTGTGGAGTAGCTTGCTTATGGAAACAAGCTAGTGGTCGGCTTTATCTGTGATAAACCTAACGTAATACAGGAGGAGGTGTGGTTTTGGCCCATGTAAACACATACAGTATACCCTGTGGAACAAATCTGTGTTTGCTTGCTTTAATTAAGAGCTTCTCTTCCCTGTGATATGGGGGGCAGGAGTTTGCATTTTTGGAATTGCTATATTTTTTCCTTTTATGCAAGCTATGGTACATTTTATCTGTTTCCGCAGAGGTGTTCCTTTTGGTACTAATGGAACTATTTTTTTCAACACTTTTTTTTTTTTCCTTGACTAAAGAAGAAACAGGGAAAATCACAAGGGAGAGAAAAGCAGTGGAAGAAGCCAAAAGTACCCACTGCTAAGGCGCTTACTTTTGAACCTCTTCCATCTCTTTGTGCTGTCAAGTTGAAGATGTCAGCTGCTTAGTAAACAAATTGTACAGATGTTCTTAAAACATTGGTGTGTGTTCCTTATTGGTGGTGTTGAGATGAAGAGGAAACGGGGATTATCCACTTGACAGAATTCTAATCAGTTGCTTCTGAGCTCAGATTCTCAGAATTTGAGAATTCATTCTCAAATGGGAGAAGATGAACGCTAAATACATGAGGTGCTTTTATTTTTTAATTGAGCTTCCTTTTTTGAAAAGGAAGCTTTTCCTTTTTTGAAAATGGACAGCTAGGATAAAGGAAAAAGAAGGGAGTACAGTATATTATACGTAAGGTTCTGTTACAGCTGGTCATTTTATGTGCCTATGGTAACGTTGTGGGTGATCTATTTAGCTGTAAAAGTAGGGATTATGCTGTACCAGGGCAACATCAAGAAATTGGCCTATTAAAAAGTGCATTTAATAAATGTAGTTCAGTATATGAAATTTTATAAAATACGAATGCAACAGTAATATTAATATTGTGATGCTTTATTTTATAGCTTTATAAAAATTTAATTTTTGTGTATATCAAGAAATAATATTTAATTTATATCCGATTTACTTGGGAAGGTGAGTTTTGTATCTCTTCACAGTCAAGTAACGTTCCTTTAAATTTGTAGGATAGTTACTTGTTTTTCTTTTATTTGTGTTTTTCTTTTAATGAAAATATGTTTATATATTTATAAATATAAATATTTTTATTTTATAATAATAACTGTAGTACACTTGGAAGTAAGAGGTATTTGCTCGGCATGAGAGTTCCACGCTGCAGTACCTGCTTTCCTACAGTAGCACAGTGAAGTATTGTACTGTGCTACCATACAAAAAATATCAGAATAATCAAGGCAATTCCTTCAGCTCTGTAGGAACGGAGGCTGGAACCCAAACTGTCCAGCTTTCCCCGAGTCTTGTAAGCGGAGGGGCTAAAAAGAGACTACAATTTTCAGTAACAGACAGTACAAAATATTTGAAGCTACCGTTGGCGTGCCTCCCTCACGCTGGCTCTCTTGTGCATTACAGCCTAGATCTAGAGAAGAACAAAAGGAGTTTACAAAAAGGTCAGACAGATTCCACACCGTGCGCTCAAAGAGGCTCTAGCTCTGCTAACTTTTTCTTTTCTTTCCTGGGGATGTCCAGGATAGCCTCATTGGGAGAGGAGATAACTCTATTTAACTGGACAGGGGAAAAGAAGCTGTACCCCATAAATATGTAGGCAGAGGGTATGCAGCCTGTGCATGTCCAGGAGCATGGTACCAAGTGTGTGGGTACTTTCACGCTGCTCTTTGTGGAGCTCTGCAGTGAGACTCCCCTGTCCCTCCAACATTACCACAAGAATGACACAACCAGCAGATTTATAATTTTGGCTGTTTCCGTTCTCTACAGATCCATCATCAAGGAGGACGTGCATCAGAAATAAAACTCCTCCTCTGCAAAGAAATTACGTCTGTTTAGGAAAGGTCTTTATATGATAAAGGCTTTTATTTCAGAGGAAGAAATCTGTTAGCATTACAGAGATCTGTTCGCCTTGGCAGAAGCCCAGATGTGAATAGCATGCTTGGCTGTGCCTGTAGATGTCAAGACCTGGCTGTTGCACTGGCATAACACAGTTTTTGCACTAATGGGAAAATCTTTTACATGACAAGCCCTGTCTCATAAGCCTTTCTCTGTTAGTAATCTTAAAAGAGAACAGAAGAAAACACCACTTTACTGAGCTGTCCTAGGAATAGGATTTATTGTAAGAAGCACACATTTCACATTAGTAAGTTGGTAGTATCGGTTACGGTGGCAAAGAAAATGTGTGAGAGCTCTAACTGAAGCCCTCTTACCCACCTATCCCTATCCGCTCTAACAACTTTCAATGGGCATGCGTGACTGTTATAGACAATAAACATTTTCTTTTTTTATGCCCTTTATGACTTCTTTTTTCTAAGAACCCTGTGTAGTTCTTTCCCAGTGCCATGTGGCATATATCGTGGATGAACTATTTGCTTTTTTGCCAACATTTTCCTTTTTTTGCCCTTTATATCTGCTCTGCCACAAATTCTAGTTCTTTTGATGTCACGCAGAAATGTATTACTACTTCACGAAAGTCTCTGCTTACTCTCAATTTCAAACCAGAAGAAATGTAGATGAAGAATTTAACTTGCACCTTCTCTGAGAATGCTGAGACTAGAAATGAGCAAACATTCTTTCAAGAGCTATGGAGGGAATCTTTTGAGTCTCATCAAGTTTTTCATATATTTTCCAGCTGTATTTCATACTAGTACTTTCAGCTTTCTGCACAGTTATACTTTTCTACAAATATTTATATGCAAAAAATTACAAAATTCTACTCTCAAACCATATTTCTCTTTTTCCCATACGGTAGAAACTGACCCGAACCATGCTTTCTCCATGCCGCTGCCTTGCGCCAGTCGCAGGAGCACTTATGATGTTCTACTACCATCTTCTCTAAATGAATTTAGCATTCTCCTCCCCGTGTTATCCTCCATAAAACTGTATGGCATGCTACAAATTATATATTTAGAGTAAGGCAGATCCGTCTTATCAATTCAGTCAAGAGATATGATGATGTGCTTTCTTGTCTCTAAGTGGTTAATAATTGCAAAAGATTCTTTTTAATGCTTAGTACTTCATTCAATTTATTTTTCTTTTTAGTGCCTTGGAAAATAAATCTTAAACATTTCTTCTGTTATCTAGCACTTTAAGCCTTTTCATAGCATTTGTAACATCTCTTTGCCAACACTCCATCTGTGATTTTAGCTTGCAGGAAACACTTTGCAATTCTGTTATTAGCTTAGATGCAGAGAGCTGCTGTTTAAATATTAATTGTAACTTCCCTCGTAAGTGCAGTCAAACCCACTGAGTAACTTGTGAAGTTCAATAAATATCTAGGAGGGGGTAGGGAGTGTGGTGTGGGTAGGGCCTGCTCTTAGCCTTAGCAAAGGTCTTACTCGAGTTAACAGTGCAAAATAGATCATGTCCTGATGCTTGCTGTTTCCTTTCCTCTTCTTACCTCGGTTCCCCTCCTCGTACACACACAACAAACGGAAAGAAAAAAGAATAACGTTGAAGTGCAAGCATACTTCTTGCACGGTTAGTGGACTTCCTGCTAAACCTGCTGTAAGCGAGAGGACCACCACACAGCGCTCGCGAGAAAAGATGTGAGATCCGTCATTTGTTTCAAATCCTAGTTATTGGACAGATGCACTTCTAAAGTACTTGTGTATTGCTCTGTCAAGAATCCCACCTCAGTAAGAGGCATTATCTTGTGGTTGATCCCTTCTCCTCTGTTTTCAGTCATGAGCCTCACCCCGTTTCATTTCTTGATTCCACAAAATGTACTTTACACTTAAAAATAAAAAATAGGAAAATATTATGCGATTTACAGACGTTTCAGTAAAGTGTATTTGATAGAAGTGAGAAACAAAGTAGTTAACACCAATCTGACCGGCCTGTTTTCTGTGGATCACCAGAGCATGGTAATTGTAATACTTATATGGGGTGTAATTGAAGGAAGATCAGCCCCATTAAAATTGTACGTTGTATTTTTTCCTCTCTTCTTCTTCCAGATGGTTATTAATCTTTTATTGGTGAGGTGATTTGCCTGCGGTGTAATCTGAGATTTTTCCTCATGTCATTTAAGTGCGTTACTTCTCTTTGTGTTTGCAGGTGGACTGAATTTTAATGTGTTGAATTCTGTTAATTGCTTAGAATTTAGATGTTTTTCTTAGTATCTTGAAAATGTGTAATAAATTTTAAAAAAAACTTTAGTACCCACATTATCCTTTTATTTTTCAGCATTCTGTGAAGAGGGGTGCAGATATGGTGGAACTTGTGTAGCCCCTAACAAATGTGTCTGCCCTTCTGGATTCACAGGAAGTCATTGCGAGAAAGGTAAAGCTTTACTGAAACGCACCTTCTTCTTTGGAAATGAGAAATATGAATTAAGAAATAATTGCTTCCCATTCATTCATTCTGCTTGATATTTTCTCTTCATTGAGGATATGACTGTTCCATAGCTGCCTTTTCCTAACTGAAAGCTAGTCTTAAATTAAACGTGGAAAGTTTTAGACAATCAGGGATTTATCTGCTTTTGCTTCCAATGGACACTTGTAGTTAATTAGATTAACTTAAGATTTGATTTGTTTCTAAGTCACTGAGGCCACCAATTTTCACAGAATCACAGCCTACTAAAATATATCTCACTAGTGATGATTTGGTTCTGCCTTTTCCCACATTTTTCCATTTCGAGATTTGCTTCTGATAGCCTCATAGGCCTACCTTTCTGTTTGTTTCACAAAGATCTGGTTCCTTGTCTACGTTAAACGAGAAGGAAGGGATCTTACAGAATTCCAGGGAGGACTCTTACTAGATTCTTTATACAGCAGATTTGGGATTTTATTTTGGTCTGTATTTATTGAGGTTGTATTTCACTTAAATAACCCAATGATAGAGGTTTTTTGCATTGCGTGCTTGTTAATAAACCTTTTGCACTTGCCTTTACTGGTGGAAATAAAGTGGATCGTTAATGCAGGTTGTATGATGCTAGTATGGATGACGTTATAGTTGATGAAGTTTTTTAAGGAAGAAAAAAAAAAAAGCCAAGAAATAACTGTTAAGTTAAATCACTGGAACCACTTGTTACCCAGAGGTTGTTCAATAATTTGTGTGTAGCAGTGTCTGTTTAATACATGGTTGTTCTACTATAATACAAAGTAATTTAAACCCAGTTGTCAACAAATCTGCTTTGAGTAGCTACTGAAAACGGCTAAAGCTTTTTATGGATGTACTCAAATCGCTGCGTACAAAAATCCCATAGTTTCTAGTTGTCAGCATTGTTTCTAATTATTTGGGAATGAACTAGGATGTTAATATTTTCATGTCATCTTGAATTAATTTGAGTACTGCATTTTTTTTTTTTCCTGTAGTCTTTGGGTTATTTGTTTTAAATAGAAATAAGCTCCCAAGCCTCCTGACATTCAGCAGTACGTACCAGCAATACACACGGGGGAGTAATACAAGAAGTATCTGCCCTAGAGCCCCACCTACCATAGCTCCCCAGCCTCTGATCCTGCTAGTTACGCTCTTCCATGTATAGTTTGCTCATTCCATTCTAAAACGTCTATTATTCAGAGGGAACGGTACGTTCAGAGGGATGCAGGATACCAGAAATGGGTTCTATGTGAAAATATGGCACTGCAAAACCGGTACCTGCATTGCCCAAAGGTGCCCTGCCTACCCAGGGAGCCAGTGGCTTTAGGCCAGCTTTCAGCTCGACGGCCTGTTTCTTTCACCCATGAGTCTTAGAACTATCTTTTTTTCTTATAGCTGTAGAAGGACTTTCATAACTAGAACACAGAGGCTTTAAACTGTTGAAGTGATGGTTTAAAATTGATAAATGGATGACATAATCATTGTTGACTCCTATGTTTTTCATGTCTTTTGTATTGTTTTGATCTAAAATATGAGTTAGCACACCAGCTAAAGGAAACATGGCAGGCATGGTACTCTCATTATATCAAGCAATTTAGAGGTAGATGTCAGAAGGAGCTACCTTCTGTGTATAAAATCTATACGACTTGAAGCAGAAGGAAGCTTATTTTTTTTTCTTTGAAGATGTGTAGGATTTACCAGTATGCTGCAAGTCAAGCTAACGATGGTAGCTTTGAGAAATCTGATGTGCAAACCGATTTGAGAATGAATAGGGCTTTGCACATGAGAAGTTGTCACATTTTAGTGGTGTCAGAGGGTTTGAAAACTTCAGCAGATAGACCTTGTCATATGCTTATTTCAGTGGCTAAGTGCCTATCAGATCTGTGTGAGAACAGCTTCAGCCATCTGAAGGTGCGTATCCTGGAAAAACTAAGTGTTCAGAGTAGAAAGGTGATGAACCACCTTTGAAGCAGCCTTCCCTTTGCTTACCTGCTTACTCCTCGAAGATGTAGTGCTGTCAGGAAGGGGAGGCAGTTCAGTAAAGAATTCCCTCATAGTCTCACTGTAGTTTGCTGCAATGTTTTTAGAGGACATCTAAAGTATTCAGAAACCATGTTTGTTTGGGTGGGGTTTTTTCCCATTGTAGGGTTAGAAATAAGCACTTAGTTATATTTAACATACGGTAGCACTCCCTCAATCATTATGACATAGACGGAAGACGGTGAAATGGTGGGACATCACTTTAAATCAAAGCTTAAATGTTCCTGGTAAAATCTTGTCTGATGGAAGCTCATGGTGAACTGATGCATATCAGAAGTAAAATGATGTGTTTTGGTAATGTATTCTATTCGCCACGGTGCATTTAAAAATGTCCTTCAAACCGACAACACAGCAATCCCTTATACATTATTTGTGAGCTGAAAGGACTCATCACCGGCTAAAAACAGTATGACCCAAATTGGCTTCAACGTCATGTAAAGGGTAAAATGAACCAGTAATTAGAAATGTTGTTGAAAAGCAGGTGCGTTTACTTCTGAATATGAATCATATGTTACTCATCGTTTCTGACTGCATGGTTGAAATGATGATATTAGGTTAATTAAAAATTCAGAGATATTTGAGAGGGATAGGATTTATGTTGGTAACTTACTCGGGTGAAATTAAAATACACATTTAAGGCTTATGTACAAATACATAATTCAACATGCTGCTAAGAAGAATTACCTCTTGCCAGTTGCTTTGCCTGGAATGAGGAATCATCACAATGGTTGTGGAGCTGCCTTGTCTTTTTGAAGGTGAACTGCAAATTGATATCCAGAGATACTGTCAAGTAATTCCTCCTTCCACCCGTTCTTTATAATGCTGTTTCTTTAAGTATGTGCTTGATGCTTTTACAGAATTTTTTGTCATTTTCTATTTAGGATCCGATTCTATGATCTAATCAATTTTTTGTTTGTTTGTTTGTTTTGCGTTTAGCTGGCCAGGGCTGAAATCAATGATCTCTCTGATCATTACCATTTGTGATCATATTTAACACGGTTGTGATACCTGTGCTAGCGGGTTTTTATGTTTGCTGACATTGCTGTACGGTTCCAGCATGTATGTGCCTGATGGCTGAGCGGGAGATACGCATCCTTAACTGCATGTAACACTGTTGGCTGAAGCCCAGGTGCCTCCTTGGCAGGGACCCCTGTTAAAGGCTTCCGAGAGACATTTTGGTGTGCAGAAAGGAATGCAAACACAGTACTCCGAGAGTTTTTGGCAGCATGGACTCAAATGTCCTAATTTTCCATCCAGTGATGTTTTTTCCATCTCCTATTTTTGCAACATTAAAAAAAAAAACAACCAAACATCATTCCTTGAGCTGCTTTTCTCTCTCTGTGGATGAGCCACAGGTCAGTGGAATTTTAATGCTGGTTTTGTAGACAGCGTTCGCCGTTATTCTGTATTTGTGGAATGCTAGTCACTAGTGCCACTGAAGAAGTGGTGAGGATGAGATAGGGAGGACAATCTACGGTATCAAAGGCAGGACTAAACAGATGATTGAGTGCGTAGAAATTGCAGGCATTCCTTGAACACCTACCTGCATGTGGTAGGGTCCTGTGTGCGGACCTAAGAAATACATACCAACTTCTATACGGCTCTGGGATGGTGACCAGTGGTGGCAGAAATTTCAGCTTAAGGGAGTTAGTTACGGTGTCTGTCTGTGCAAATTATAACTCTGGGCAATGAGCAGGAAACAGCAGAAGGGTTTGAAGCAGTGGATTCCCAGCTAGGGGTAAGTCAAGGAAGGTGCAGTATTTTTCCAAAAGCTGCCAGAGGGCTTTTGGCAGTGGTGGGGCGTCGCCTCCAAAAGGGATTCAAAACAATTGCACCACATCTTTGCTCCCCTGGCTCCTGAAAGCTCCTGTCTGAGCTGGTACACGATGAATGGGGAATATGATGCTGGTAGATTAGAAGGACGTTGCGTAGGCTGGAGCTCAGAGAGGTAAATATTTCTGTGGTAGCCACGTGTGTATTTATAGCCTTTGTAAAGCACTGGCGAACCATTTTCTCACAGAATGATAGAATACTGTCAAAGAATTACCTGCTGATTGTAAACAGTCAGAAGCAAGGGTAAGACATGGTAGTGAAGCATCAGGATGTGATAATTACTGGGGTTATTTTTTTGTGTTGTTTTGGGCAGTGTGTGCAAAAGATTGTCTGATATTGGGGTGAGAGGTCACTTTTCAGCATGTACCATGGCTAAGAAATGTTCTTTGAATCCCAATAATTATATTGTGAGAGAAAAAAAAATCAACACTTGCAGCATTGCATTAGTTACATACGTATTCTTCAGTGCAGTCATAGATTTCACAGGTATGCAATGAAATATTGCTATGCTTATACTTGAAGTTGGATATGTCATGTATACGTCATGAAAATGAGGAGGTCTTTAGCTGATTTGTTCCATAATAGTTGGCAGTATCTGGAATTGTTGTCTAAGAAGTTACATAGTTCTTAGTGTACTCATCTCTTAAATTGCTTCTTCTGAAATATATTGTCTTCTGCAATCCTTTGGGTAAAACTCCCTGCAGTCTGTATTCCTTTGGACCCTGGAGATAGGGGAAAAAAAAGAAGTGAGAATTGTATTTTCGTGTGCTATTTCTTTGATTCCTGAGCTGGATCAATCTTTAGGTGTGTAGCTATCAAAGACATTTCAGTTGAGGAACATGGTTTAAAAAAATAAGCAAACAAAAACCAAAGGAAAGCAGAGAAAGAGATTTTTCAGTGAGTACGGTAAGCTAAATGTCAAAACTCCCTACCTTTCTCTATCTGAGGTCTTTTGTAAAATATGAAGCAAGGTTTATTTTGGGAAACAAACCAGCTGTGCAGCTGTGGGTACAAGGCTTTGCATGAGATTCTTTCTAAAGCCTCTCATTTCAAGGTGAGGCAAAGCCAGTATAGTGTGAGATAAGAGG